GGTAAAGGGGAGAAACGCCCCCGCAAAGTGAATGGACCTGAGTGAGAACTCCTAGAGTCCTCAGGACATAACACCCCTTCCCCCCAGATGCGAACACGCATAGTCTTTGAGGTAGGCAGGAGGTTTATGTTGGCGCCCGGAACGGCGCAGCTCTGGAACGCTGACTGTCCGTTCAGAGTCTGTCTGGGAAGGCAGAGCCGGGTAAGTGTCACCAACGTGCCCCTCAGTTCGGGCAGGCCCGGGACTCGTAGGGTTGGTCACTGGGGACGTGCTCCCGTAGACTGGATCGGGCTGGTCCACCGTCTGGGCGCCGCTGTCCGTGTTCGGGCTTTCTGGAATGATTGTTGGTGTGTACTGGTCGCCGGGAAGGATGTGGATATGGGGTTGATGCTGAGACCTCCCGTCGCTTTGTGATTCTGGGTCCCTGCTAGTGTGGGTGCTGAGGCGCCTACGCAGCTGGTCTAGGTGCCTTCTCCAGACCCAGCCGTCCTCCAGTCTGACCCGATACGACCTTGGTCCGGTGATGGCCACGATCTCGCCCGGGATCCACAGGGGGTCTCCAGCAAAGTTCCTCGCGAATACTGGCTCCTGTAAGATAAAATGTCTAACCCCTGATGTGGAAGCGAGGGGAGAGTCAGGGCAGTATTGTGGGTGAAGTCTGTCCAATACAGTCCTCAGACGCCTGCCCATCAGGAGCTCAGCTGGGGACTTGTTGGTGACTGAACATGGAGTTGAATGCTGGCTCATCAGGAAACGCGAGAGTTTGTGGTGCCAGTCATCCTTGCTGAACCTAGCCAGGGCTTCTTTAGTGGTCCTGACGGCCCTTTCAGCCAATCCGTTACTGGCAGGATGAAATGGGGCTGTGAAAATGTGGCGGATACCCAGGTTGGCAGCGAAACGGCTGAACTCGGTTGATGCGAACTGTGGGCCATTGTCGGAGACAATGGAGTCGGGTAGCCCGTGTGTTACAAACAGGCGTGTTAATACGTTGGTGATTGCTTGCGTGGTGGTCGTGGATAGCTGTGCAATGTCAATCCATTTAGAATAGGCGTCCACGACCACTAGGAACATTTTCCCATGCAAGGGGCCGGCCAGGTCGATGTGAATTCTGGAC